AGTCCAGCCCCCTGCTCAAGCAGGAGGTCCTCCACCATGGTAGACCGATGGCTGTCCAGGCTCTTCTTAAAAACCTCCAGTGATGGAGCACTCACCACTCCTGGTGGGAAGATGTCCCCCTGGTTAATTGTTCTGTCATGGGAAAGCTTTGTCTGTTTTGACCCAAGCTCAGGGAGCATCCATCCTCCTCCTTCTCTTCCTTCTCCCATCCTCCTCTTCCTCTTCTTCCTCCTCCTCCCATCTTCCTCTTCTTCTTCCTCCTCTTCTCCTCTTCCTCCTCCCTCCCCCTCTTTCTCTTCTTCCTCCTCCTCCCATTCTTCTCTTCCTCCTCCTCTTCTCTTCTTCCTCCTCCTCTTCTTCTCCCATCCTCCTCTTCCTCTTCTTCCTCCTCCTCCCATCTTCCTCTTCTTCTTCCTCCTCTTCTCCTCTTCCTCCTCCCTCCCCCTCTTTCTCTTCTTCCTCCTCCTCCCATTCTTCTCTTCCTCCTCCTCTTCTCTTCTTCCTCCTCCTCTTCCTCTTCTTCCTCCTCCCATCTCCTTCTCCTCCCCTCCTCTTCCCCCCCCCATCCTCCTCCTCTTCTTCTTCTCCCATCCTCCTCTTCCTCTTCTTCCTCCTCCTCCCATTCTTCTCTTCCTCCTCCTCTTCTCTTCTTCCTCCTCCTCTTCCTCTTCTTCCTCCTCCCATCTCCTCCTCCTCCCTTCCTCTTCCTCCTCCCATCCTCCTCCTCTTCTTCTTCTCCCATCCTCCTCTTCCTCTTCTTCCTCCTCCTCCCATTCTTCTCTTCCTCCTCCTCTTTTCCTCCTCCTCCCTCCTCCTCCCTCCCCCTCTTCCTCTTCTTCCTCCTCCTCCAATTCTTTTCTTCCTCCTCCTCTTCTCTTCTTCCTCCTCCTCTTCCTCTTCTTCTTCCTCCCATCTCCTCCTCCTCCCTTCCTCTTCCTCCTCCCATCCTCCTCCTCTTCGTCCTCCTCCCATTCTTCTCTTCTTCCTCTTTTCCTCCTCCTCCCTCCTCCTCTTCCTCTTTTTCCTCCTCCTCCCATCTCCTCCTCCCTTCCTCTTCCTCCTCTTCCTCCCATCCTCCTCCCTCCTCCCATCCTCTTCCTCCTCCTCTCCCTTCTAGCACTGATGATGTTACCTAGTTTGGATCATGAAACGTCTGCAAGAAAACCCCCAAGGACCCCACAGTCCTCCTCATCCTCTCCACAAACCCTCCCCTCTTCCAGCGCTGATGACGTTACTTAGTTGGGTCATCCAACGCCTGCAGGAAAAACACCCATGCCCAGAGAGCTCCAGGGGAGACAAAGTTTCGCCTGCTCCCCCTGCTTCCCCCTCCCCAGCCCCCCCCCGCTCACCTGACTCTCTTCTCCCTCCCTTCCTCCTCCTCCAGCAATGGTTCAACATGTACAAGCCCATCACGGTCCACACGGAGCAGCTGTGGGAAGCAGACGAGGCCTCCGTAGTCAACAAGCTGGACCCTAACAAGGTTTTCCGCAACAAGGCCTCCCTGGTGAAGAAGAGGCCCCCCCACCCAGGCGGCCGCCTCCCAGAAGAACCCAGCGGTGGGAGGGTCACCCCGAACCACTTCGCAGGCTGGGAGCTTGTCAAAAAGACGGGAGACGCAGCCTTGAGCTCCCTCTGGACCCCCCACCCATCCTCACACCACCACAAACCCCTCCCAATTGCCCAGCCTTCCCTTCTGCCTGTGCAGGACTTCATATTTATTGCTGAATTATTTATTGATGGAGATTTGAACCCCTGGCTGATTTTTGGTGGCAGGGGCATGCCTGCAAACAACTCAACAAAGGGGGGGAGGGGTCTTTTTAATGCGCTTTCCCCTATTTGCACGGATTTCTGACCCAACCCCTGCCACGATGTGAACCGGCATTCGCCACGGAGAAATTTGGTGAGGGGGCTTTTTGTCCCATTTTACGAACCTTCCTCGCCACGGTCGCTAAGCGAATCCACGCAGCCCTTAAGTTGCAACAGTTCACTTAGCAGTTGTTCAAAGTTACGACGGCCCTGAACAAAAAGGAATCTGCAATTGTTTTGCCATGCTGAATGACCGTCGGTGGCTTGGAACGGCACCGGAAAGTGACATATGACCGTTTTTCACGCTAACGACCCTTGTGGTGTCTCCACAGGATCGCGTGATTAAAATTCAGGCACTTGGCAACTGACTCACAGTTATGATGGTTGCAGCATTCTTGGGGTCACATCATCCCATTTTGTGAAGCAAAGTCAAGGCCAGACTCACTTAACAACCATGTTACGGGGAGTCCCTGACTTATGACTAGAATTGAGCTTACGTGGCTAAATTGGGTTACGTGGCTAAGTGAGAAATTGATGGATTTTGCTCTATTTTACGACCTTTCTCGACACGGTTGTTAAGTGAAGCACTGTGGTGGTTAGTCACATGGTCATTAAGTGAATCCGGCTTCCCCATGGACTTCATCTGTCAGAAGATTACAAGAGGGGGTCATGTGACCCCAGCACACGTCGACCGTCATAAATGCGAGTCACCTGCCAAGCGTCTGGATTGTGATCATGTGGCCACAGGGATGCTGCAATGGTCGTAAGTGTGAAAAATGGCCATAAGTCACTTTTTTCAGTGCCGTTGTAACTTTGAGCCCTCGCTAAGCAAACTCTTGTAAGTCGAGGACTACCTTGCTTAACAGCTGCGAGGATTCACTTAACAACTGTTGCAAGGAAGGTCGTAAAAGGGTGGAGAGTCCACTAAACAAATTTCTCAATTAGCAACCCTCTAAATTTTGGGCTCAATTGTCGTCGTAACTCGAGGACTCTCTGTACATGCAAATTTGGACGGTTACACTTGGAAGTCCACGTCGGTTCTTTATCCTTATTTAGGCACAAACAATTTTTTGTACTTTACGATATGCTTCCCCCCTCCCCCCAAAAAAATGGTTGTCGGGCAGGAAAACTGG